AAAGTATTCTGCTGATTGTGAATTTTATCATTATTCTACAAGATGCACCGTGGGCCACGATAAACTGTTCTAATTATTTGCATCAATGACAACCAAAGTGAAGTTGTGCTGAGGGACAGATAAAAAGATTTTTCTCACACACACACAAACACACACACACACACACACACACTAAATAGGCGAAATTGCCAAGTTGCATATATTTAATTAAACCTTACTTATTATGGTAATTTGTACTTGTGTAGTAAAAATCACATTAATTGATGAATGAAGAAGTTGCACTTGTAATAGCCAAGCATGTATGACTAGGCCTAACTTATTGTAAATTAAATTAATCCCTCCCAAAGAAGATTAGGTTAAGTTAAGTAGCTTTGGACAGATTCGTAAATTATGTGACCAAAAAAACGAAAACAAAGCTAAAATATCGTTATCAGTGGATTTAACATTTTTTATAATTGAACTAAAAGGGTAAAAATTTTGTTTACCCTACCAATAAATTAAGATTGTATGGTTATTGAGACGACTGTACAATTAGCAAGAATCACTTAGTTTAACTCAATAAACACAAGAGCTGAATTGCACCCATAATAATCACCTGGGGAGTCCTGACCTTGCCTATTGTAATTTGATTTAGCCTCCAGTTTATAAAGTTAGCTTTATCGGTGCTTAAAAACATGATCACAAGACGCCAATCATCAGGCCCACACACATTCTGTTCAGTTATAACAGTAAAAACAGATTCCTTTTTAAACTGTTTTTTGTTGTTCAATACAGTAGCATCTAATCAGACATGTTTGGCTTATATTTTGTACACACACATCAGTAATAACAAGTGTGCTGGACATAAAGGGCACTGAACCAGAATGCTGTAATAATCTTCAGTTTCTTGTCCCTTGGCAGAATATGTATAGGCATTATATAATAATTTTCTTTTAGGTGTAAGAACTGGGCAATCAAAAACAAAATAGGAAAAAATTTGGCACAAAGATTGTTTATTTTTTTATATATTTTTTTATTCTTAAATTTGTTTAGTTTCCCTGGCTAATTTACTATTAATTATGCTTCTGCTGCCTCTGTCTTTCATATTTCCTTGTTGCTGAGCTTAACTAAAATATTGTAGTGGTTTGATGAATACTGCTTGAAAAGGTATAAGGAAACTCACAGTTAAGTGATCGCAGTGACGCCTTGAATAAAAAGACTTATTCACGGGAAACTGAAGTACATTGATTCAAATATTTTAATGCAACAAGGATCGTCAGACCTTTCAGTAGTCTTAACCAAAAAATATTTTCTTCTATTGTAATCAAGTTTTCCATAATTTGGGTATTATAATGCTGAAGACTTTAGTTGCTTACTGTGATTGGAGTGAATGCTAATGATATTGTTTCACATCAAAATTACTTTTATTGGAATTTTCACTATACAGTACAATATATTATACAATTCTAGTTATTTCATAAAATAATTAAATTTCATCCTCGGTGATTTATTTTAATCCAATATTTTGTAGTCGTGAAATTAAGAGAATCACAAAACATGTGACTTGTTACTAAAAAAACAATAATGACATAGGCCATATTTGTCAATGATAAAAGGTTAACAAGTTCAAATCTAATTGTAATGTTTATACAGCATCAACTTACCTGACGTCAATTTGTCATTCCTGAGAGCAATGTTACTAACCACAGTGTAACTATTATAATTAATAAAAAATTGAACATGAAATTTAGAAAAACTTCCTTTTACAAAATTTATGAGAAAAAAAATGTGCACAGAAGAAACATATGAATGTGGTAAAAGTTACTTTTTTGGACATAATGGAGAGAAGTACTAATGTGGTAGATGTAATGTTTTAGCTATCACTGCCCCTGGCGATCTACATGTAGTCAGAGTACAGTAGTTGGCTGACAGCGCTGGCCCTGAACACCTAGATTTAGTCAGGGTACAGGACTTTTACACCGCACTGTCCCTGATGATGTACATGTAGTCAGGGTACTCTAAGTCTTTATACGAAATAATAAAGGAGGATTATATTTCAGGAACCATGTTTTTTTCTAACCTTATACATACAGTATATCTATACATATTGACTACTGGTTCTTAACCTTTTTGGCTCTGTGTCCCCCATATAATTAACCATGAGTCCATGGCACCCCCAGGTCCCCAAAGAACACATGTTTTCAAGTTCCAATTTCACCACCTTTTAATGCCTTTCTAGATCCAAATAAACTCAATACAAATGTAATAAAATTTTACTATTTCATCTAGAAATGGTTTGCATTGCTTCTCCACAAGCATTTAAATTTTGGTGAAGTTGAAGAACGTACAATGTTTGTCATTTTCATCATTTTGCCTGTTTTGATACTTTGTCTTCACAGTAACAAGACTCACAAAGGTAAGTGGAAGAAAAGGGAACAGTCATGTCAATGCTTCCTGACTAAGCTTTGGGTAAACGGGCCAATATCACCCAAAACTTTTCCAATGGTAGGATTTTTAAATCATCTTGGGCAGATGAATTGAATTTCATCTCTAGAAAATTACCTCCCAGTTTCTGATGGTTTGACATATGGAGAACTTTTACATTTGCTGGCAGGTTATTCTTTGAATACACAACTCTCACTCCAAGAGGGGAGGTGTGGCAGCCATGTGAATACAGCATTTTAGAGGTAGTAGGTAGTAGGCAGCTACCAAACAGGGAGGTACTACCGCCTGGGAAGATATTGGAAGCAGATTGCATTGTCTAATGGTAGACCCTGCTGCCATATAGCATCAAAACAATTGTGACTAAGTCCCAGGTTGCTGATCTGACTTTCTGCCTCATTTACATGCGATTTCAGGGTCTCAATCGTTTCTCTTACTTTGACAACACAACAAATACAGTATATTGTTTCTCATTCTTGCTCTCTTTTATTTTTTCAAGTTCTATGTTTATTTCTTGTGCAATTTCTTTTTTCTTTTTATAGCTCCCCAGGCCCCAATGTGGGTCTGTGACCTATGCCCCAGTGGGCTAACCCACATTAAAAATAAAAACAAATCATTTCCTGTCCTAATGGTCATTGATCTGAACCTGGGGCTCCTCTGGTTCACCCAGCTGTAAATGGCTATCAAAATTTACACTTGTAAAGATTAAAGAAAGTTGAGTGCATCCTCGCACACGGCCTCCTTGTGTTACAGTGTGTTCTATGCACATTAACCCAAACAGGCTGTCATGCCTTTGGAATCCACTACGTCTCACTCCAAAGATGATGCCAAGCCATTCAGGAAATTAAGAACCTAATGGAGTGTGAAGTATTACAAGAAGATCTCTTGTCAGCTTCAGGCATGTTCTAAGCTCTAAGGAATGGCTACTGAGATTCAACTTTACAAAATGCAAGAGGATGCACCAAGGTCATACCAATAGTAAGGAGGCGTATCACATGTCTCAACGTTATGAAGAAATATCATTAACCGAGATAAAATGTGAAAAGGACCTGGGTGTGTATAGTGATAATGAACTGAAGTTCTTGGATCACTGTGAAAAGAAGGTGATTCATGCAAGTAAACTACAATGACTTGTACGAAGATCGTATAGAATACCTAAATGGCCCATCCAAAGTGAAATGCTTCCCCACTTGGAGTATAGTACAGTACTTGAGCAGTGCTATTATTCCATCTTGTCCCTGAGATATGTAAGAGACCGCCAATTGATTGAGAGTGTACAAAAGAAGCCACCAGTTAGCTGCCTGCATTCCAGCACCTCTGGTACCAAGAGGTGCACCTGAAAGGCCATTTCTCGTCAAAAGTGTTCATATCAGTACTGTAGTGCCATGTTGGAACACCACTTCTTGTCTGATGAGCTTAGTTAAGCAACATTGGGTCTGCTGGCATAAGGAATCTACTGGAAACAATCCTCTCATGGCTTTGTTAGTTGTCCTTGGTCAAATTGACCGAAATTAATAATTGGCAAGTTTGTAGTTATGTATTTAGGTAAAATAAGGTAATGTCCTCTTATGTTGGTGGTGCATTACATCACAAAGAAATGCATCTGATTTTTAAACACTATTTACATGTGCTTGCTATGGGTACAAGTACTGGAGCTTGAGAAACTTAAAGCAAAGAGCTAAGAAAATTTAAGCAAAAACACCAGATTATGCAGCCATCATTTTTATGAAGGCAATTACACTTCAGGGAAGGCTTTGTAAAAATCTATGTACAGATATCAACCAAGGTTTGTATTATAATATGTACAGTATGTCAAATATCAAATATTGCAAATAAATATGTTTGCATATGTATATGTCTATAGACTTTATTTTATGATCCACATTTATATATTTTAATTTTTTTTTTGTACAAAATAAACCATAAAACTATTTATGTATACAGCCTTAGTGACATGAACCTAGAGAAGTCGACTTGTGAAAGAGACCTAGGGGTACTTGTAAGCCCGGACCTACGGCCTAGAAAACAGTGCGTTAATGTTCGAAATAAGGCAAACAGCGTATTGGGTTTTATATCTAGAAGTGTAAGTAACAAGAGTGCAGAGGTCTTATTGCAACTATATCTTGTGCTAGTCAGGCCGCACCTCGATTATGCGGTTCAGTTCTGGTGCTCTTACTATAGAATGGATATCAATTCACTGGAGTCGGTGCAGCGAAGAATGACAAAAATGATTCCGGGACTTAGAAACCTTCCATATCAGGATAGGTTAAAGAAACTTAACTTGCATTCCCTAGAAAGACGAAGAGTGCGGGGAGATATGATAGAAGTATTTAAGTGGGTGAAAGGAATCAATAAAGGGGATATAGATAAAGTTCTTATAATATCCGAGCAGGATAGGACTCGGAGCAACGGATTTAAGTTGGATAAGTTTAGGTTTAGGAGGGAGCTAGGAAGGAACTGGTTCACAAATAGGGTGGTGGAAGAGTGGAACAAGCTTACCAACTTTGTTGTAAGTGCTGGAACGCTGGAAAGTTTTAAAAGGAGGCTAGATAGATTCATGGATGATAGAGAGTGGTAGTAACTCTCGACAGGAGCTGCCATGCACAGGCCAACCGGCCTATTGCAGACTCCTTATGTTCTTATAACCTTCACCCCAAAAATATTGACTGTTACTTATGATCCTAAAAAAACAACTAATATTTAATATTCTAAAGCATAGAAAATGAGTTGGCATTCAGTTTACTTAAACGAATACATGAAATAGGATATTTCTATGATTCACACATGAAATGTGCAAAAATATGTTCCAAACATGAATAAAAATTAAAGGGAGTAACAATTCCTCCAGTAACTTACCATAACATCAAGGTGAACGACTAATTTATACATTCCATGTGTATTATATGGAGAAAATATAAAATTGGTTATATTAACATATCTTATGCATATTTCTTATGAAAAATCGACACGTTAGCAACCGTTAAAATGATGCTCTGTATAGTGATGCGCCAGCTCAAAGATGGGGCTGTCATGGCTTTAGACCGCACATCTTTTTTAATGGTCGGGTTGGTCACTTCCCTATCTTCCCTATATAGTCTCTGGGTTAGTGTGGGAAGGGTAGTGTTTAGTATCGTAACAGCGGGGTCGTTGACGAAGCATGAATCTCATAACTAATTTTTCTTAATAATTATCAATTTTACTTTAGCAAATTATGGCTAGAAGTAATTTGAGAAAATGAATGGGACTATATATAACGGCCAATCGTGTATGATATTCTTTCTGCAATCCAGTCACTTAAGGTAAATTGATATGTAAGTGATTTTCAGTGAATCAGTAAAGTGAACCAATGAATTAATGAATCGAAGCACCTAAAGGGTTCACCCGGTTCACCAGGGTCTTTACGGTACAGACGTTAATGTTGACAGCAACGTGTGTATGTGTGTTGCGATACAGTATTTGATGGCTATTTCCGGATTTTACGTTCGTGTTTGTGGATTACCTGGTGTTTGTGGCGCCGTAAGGGCTTCCAAGACTCTACGTTGTGGATATTAGCAGTTGTGTGGAGGTATGTTGATAAAGCAGTTGAGTAACTGTACTGTGGAGTCCAGTTGGGGTAGAGACGGTAGTGTATTCACTCCTCCGTGTGTTCAGGAATTGTGAATGCCATGGCTCGGACAGATAATACTGTTATTAAGATGGCTCTTAACCAAAGTTAGCATGTGGATATATAAATAAGATATATAAATACAATCCTGGAATTATTAAGGGTTTATTGTTGTTTCCTGAACATTGATGTTGCACGGAGGAGTACTTGTCCACCTGCTGTGGAACCTTGATTGTATATGAATTTATTGAGTAAAAATCATACAGTAGATACATATGTGAACATTTATCGAAGACAACACAAGGTATTAGTAATGCATATTTCCAGTGTGGTGATTGTCAACGTTACCGAGGGTTCTTGCAAACCTGCACCTTGCCTAAAAAACTGACTATGGTCCAGGAAGTACTGTACAGTACATCTACTTATGTATGGTCAACTTTTCCCAGACCCAGGTACTGAATTAGTGGTCTAGGTGAGGTATCTTTTCCTGCCCCAACGCTAACTCTATACACATAACTCTGTTTTACATAAATTTTTGATGTCCTGTGGCTGTTAGGTGGTAAATCTCATTAAGTGACATTATAAGTGGCAAGTGTGAATTACATCTACCACTCGCTTAAATGAGGTGATGGAGTTCGTTTAAGTCGTTCAGTAGTGTGTCTGAAAGTAGTTGTACACTCATTATTATGTAAGTATTAAGTAGTACCAAGTAGTTTTGCATCAGATAGGAACTTTCGTTAGGTCTCTTAAGGTGAGGTTTTCTTTAGCGGGGTGGCGAGTGTGAGGCGGTCCCTCTGCAACATACTTGTTTGAGGCGGTGCAGCTCGTCCTCCAGAGTGGTCCTCAACACCAGCTTGTCCTTGAGGTCCCTGGCGAGGAGTGGGTCCAGCAGGAGGCGGGAGGAAGGTTCTAGCTGTGACGACTTCCTCCTGGATGATGACTGCTTCTTGGCCAGCTCATTTAATCTCTCCTTCTCCTGTGAGCAAAAATGGAAAGTTCGGAAATAATAATTGTTAACATAACCGATATACCCATAGCAGTATAATTTGTTTTGATGAATCTTTTAGTATATTTTCTTTGCTGAGTTCGGATATGATATTCATCTCTTGGGCAAATGTTTGTTCTTTCTGTTTAATTTGCCCCGGGGTCTTGGGAAGTTAGCTAAGGTTAAAAAAGTTTCTTTGGTTAGGTTGGTGCGGTCTTCTAACAATGCTTCGGCTGCTGGTGTTTTTTTTTATCAACATTGGGTAGGTTAGGTTTAATTTCGAAATAACCCAATTTTAACACATTTGCCCAAACTATGAGTGTCCACTGCAAAACATAGTGAAATTGCTGCGTTTTAAAATTAATTTTCTATGAAAATCGGCGACTGGTATGTCTTAAGTAATTACTAAAATAATAATACTCCAGTTAAAAAAACAAACATTTTAATATACTGTACGGTACAAAAGAAATGTAATCATTTTGATACAAAACTTCTTTTTGAGGTCTAGTGGATATAAACTACTGTTTTGTATTTTAGATTTATAGCTTACCTGTTTGAGTTGTATTTTGAGCTTATTGACCCTGGCCTGTGCCTCGTCCACCTGTGCTGATAGTTCCTTCTTCCTCTGAGTACGTTTGTTGATGGTGGCGGTCATGTTGGTTAGTGATGACTTGTAGGTGAGTATGTTGTTCTCCTGTTGATGTTAGTATGTCATACACAACTCATACACCATAAGCTATACACCCTCATACACTGACCCATACACCCTCCTACACTCACATACACCCTCCTACACTCACATACACCCTCCTACACTCACATACACCCACCTACACTCACATACACCCACCTACACTCACATACACCCACCTACACTCACATACACCCACCTACACTTACCTGTATGGCTGCCTCCTCTGTGTACGCCTCGGTCTCCACCACCAGTCTCAGCATCTCCGACGTACTCACCTGCAGACACACGGAGGTTCATTTAGCACATAACGTCGTCTGGGTCATATCTATTCACTGTGATGGAGTTCCACTTAATGAGTTTTCGTAAGTGTAGGTTCTGTGAGTTGCATTGTCGATAGAAATGGTACACCTCCGTTAGGCTGTTGCTGCTGTTTAGTGTATTATAAGGTGTAGGTCGCCATAACACTGACCAAGGAATAATATTTATCGCGTTGTATACTGGTATGATATCCTGGACACTTTAGTAATAAAATAAATCTCTGTATTTTTTATCTTTGCTGATGAAGTTAAATATATTGTTTGATGATGGCATATCCATATGAATCTGACGGACACACACACTCACCTGGTCCTCCGCCACTTCCTGTCTCGTCTGTAACTCCTCCTCTTGACGCTGTTTCTTGAGCATGAGGCTGAAGTAGGAGCTCCTGGCCTGCTGGAGCTGCTCCTGCACCTGCTGCTGCCGCTTGAGTACTTCCCCCACTGTCTGTGTGAGAGTCATCTACCACGGTTATACAGTATTTCATGAATGGCAACTACAGTATATGTGTGAAATTGAATCCCCTGGGCCTGACGATCCATTAAGGGCAGTGATGATACAGCATATTATAGATGAGGCCTCTTTTTGGTGCTTCAGAAGGTAGTGTGGCCACAACTACACTCGACCGCCTTCACTTCCCCAACTGAAAAGTTAGGTACTGTGTGTAGACAAAAATAACTCGGCTGGGAGGCAGTGTAAGCTGCGTCTGTCTCATAATTAAACAAAAAAAATCAATTTGTGGTGTGGAAAGTAAATTGCAAACTTTTAATCGCCACCACAGGTAATGTTGCCAGGTCTCCATCTCTCCCTACCCTCCCATACACCACCCTCCCTCCCTGCTGAATTATTGTTGTCCACAATTGTACCTGTTCATAGTTGGGTAAACTCTTGAAAAACTTTCCGGGATCACCTCAGGAATCTCCACCCCAGCTTATTTCACCTATAGATTAACCACCCTAACGCTGGGGATAAGATAAAATTAGGTTTGGTTAGGTTAAGTCAGATAAAATTAGCGTTAGGGTTGGTTAATCTTAAGGTGAAATAAGCTGGGGTGGATCCACTCCCTTGGCATATTATCTCAACTCTTTATTCTTATGACTCGATTTAGCGGTACAAGAAAATAAAAAAATTTCCACAGTAGAGGACAGATGTTTCCAGTTCTCTGCAAGGCTTATTTTCTGTGAGCCATCAGATCAACTAAACGAAACCAGCTACACATGGTATTAAAATGTGTGTTTGTATACAATACTGTACTGTATGACAAAGTTAGCCAATACTTTCCTAGTGTACCTGACACATGCCTCGCTCTACACTACAACAGCTACAAGACTCACCTGTTGCCTGTACTTCTCCGGAGGCAGAGAGGAGAAGCTACTTTTGACCAGCTGCTGTTGACTCTTCATGAACTTGTCCATGGTAGCCGCCACCTGTCATGAGTATACGTTTTACTGCTTTGATTCTTTACTTCATCCCTATGAGACTCGACCCCCCCCCCCATTCCAAAGAGTAGAAGATGAGAACACGACCACGGGAACCACTGGGGGCAGAGTATAAATCCACACAAGTATTAAATTTATTACTCTGTGAGCTGGTGGTCTGATTCTCACCCGGGAAATATAGATACGTTAATGCACATATTCTTGAACTATGAATGTATGTATGTGAGGGGGAGAGATATGAAGAGGTAGGTAGACACACAAGGAGAAACGACTTGTGAGATAGAGAGGCAATACATAATGGAAAACTTGATATACTCCATAGAGATCATACATAACACTCGAGTATACTTCTCATGTGCTGAATCATGGTCAGTGTACAGTTACATTATCTACCTGGGCGCACTACATACTGAATCAATATAAACTTGCATAGCAGTTTTACTGAATAAGTAGAGGTTTATCAACCCTAAATAGAAGGAGCTTAGTAGGTCGTATGAGCCACAACTCTAGTGAACTTCTGCTTCACTGTGACATCAACCAAACCAGATATACATTAGTAGGTAGCTACCATTCAGGGAGGTACTATCGCCTGGGAAGATATTGGAAGCATAATGTGTTGTCTAATGGTAGACCCTGCTGCCATATGTGACCAAGTCCCAGGTTGATAATCTGACTTTCTGCCTCATTTACACACAATTGCAGGGTCTCAATTGTTTCTCTTACTATTGACAACACAACATACAGATATTGTTTCTCACTTTTGATCTGTTTTCATTTTTGTATTTATGGTTGTTATTATTATTATTATTATTATTATTATTATTATTATTACAGTTATTATTATTATTATCATTATTATTTTATTATTTTTTATTATAAAATTTATTTGATATGAATTATTCTTATTACATTTTCGCCCTCCAGGCCTCGATGTGGGTCAGTGACCTGTGCCCGGGTGGGCTAATACCCGTGAAAAAAAAGGTGTTTATTTGTTGAACTCTTCCTTCCTGTACTGTGTTGTGTTATGTTGTGCTGTGCTGTACTGTGTTGTGCTGTGCTGTACTGTGTTGTGTTATGTTGTGCTGGGCTGTGATGCACTAGCTGTGCTGGGCTGTGTTGTGTTATGCTGTGCTGTTGGCCACCACCCTACGACCCCCACTTGGCCACTACCCTACGACCCCCCACTTGGCCACCACCCTACGACCCCCACTTGGCCACTACCCTACGACCCCCCACTTGGCCACCACCCTACGACCCCCCACTTGGCCACCACCCTACAGCTCGGATACACCTATTTTGCCATATTCTCAACCATGACCTATTGGACCTTAATGACAAGCAAGACAAGTGACCAGTAGCAGGGACTGACCTGGGCGGTGGTGGAAGCAGCCTTGGTGCGGGCCGCCTCCAGTAGCAGGCGGTAGTGTAGCTCGTGGGCGGAAGCAGTCTGGTCAGCTTCTAGGAGTGACTGGCGGGCTCTGGCGGACTCCGCAGCCCAGTCCACCTCTCTTCCACCTTCCTCCTCTTCCCCCCCTCCATCTTCCCCCTCCACATGATAAATAATGACAAATTAACACTTTTCTCTCTTATCTGACACAGACACACACTCTGAGCTTTTCCCCTTCTAGTTATTATATATCTTATTTATATCACTTATGTTATTTGTATATTATTTGTAATTCGAAACCCATTCCCCAAATATGTAACTGTATATTTTCAGCCTTCTGGCTGCCAAGCTCTTTCAATAAACCGTTAATTATTATAATTATTACACACACGCACACGCGTGTTGGTCCTTTTTTATAGATATATAACACACACAAATATATATATTAATTCTGGAACTAGTAAGTGGCTGGGCTGAACTAAACACTTTGTTGGTTTTGCTTTATTGTAGAAAAATATAATTTCACAGGCACTGAGTTCAGTTGAGAATATATTGTACCTTCTCTACTAAGGGAAGTGTCTTAGTGCACTTATAGGAGAACACTTAAGTGAGGTGTTCACTGGGTAACAAGTGGTATGAGTCTGCCAGCTCTCTCCTGCTCAGGCGTGAGACTCAAGGAGGAGTGGGCGAGGTATTTGCAAAATCAGTTTATATATATTTTTCATTATATTATTATTATAAATATACATTCGTGTTTATAGCTGTTTCTATACTCCTACACACTCTCTCTCTCTCACCTGTTTCCTCCGCTTGAGGCTGGCCAGTACACGTAGTTCAGCCTTACGGGTCATCCTGGCCATCTTGTTCCTCTGCCTGTAGAGTCTGGTTACCTCCTGCACCAGCCGCGCCGCGTCCATCCCTACAACAGGTGTGTTACTCAACTCTGGCGTGACATCAAGTGTTATTATTGTTATATCTCCAGGTAACAGTTAATTAATGTAACACTGTCTGTCAGTCTTTCTGTCTCTGTATGTGAGTGGTGGCGGTAGACTTAGGGCGGCGTCACACAAACACCTAACGCGTGGCGGTAGACTTAGGGAGGCGTCACACAAACACCTAACGCAAGATGTGGGACTAGATTGACTGAAAAATATGTGAAATTAGGGGGGAAACTGTAGTAGTCCTATTGGCAGCTCTGTTTACACCCAATGTGTATTACTCTTGTATCCCCCAACCTACCGTATAGTGATGGTGTTTGGTAACTTGTTCCACTTGCCCATAATTATATTTTCAAATCAATGTTTACCTAATTCCTTCCTAAATCTTATTCTGTTTAATTTAAAACCATCGTTACGTGTTCGCTCCTAATTTGATAGTTTAAATACCTTAGTTATGATAGTTATTAGGCCCCAACTTCCATCTATATACACCTTGATCATATCGCCCCTCATTTACGTCTCTCAAAACAATGCAAATTCAGTTTTCTTATTCTGTCTCTATACTCAAAGTTCCTAGTACCCGGGATTAACATTGTCATCCTCTTCCAGATGCTTTCTAGGGAATCGGTATCCATTTTTTGTGCGGTGACCAAAACAGAACCGCATAATCCAAGTTTAGTTTCACAAATACAAGATCTACTGTAGTTGTAAATAACACTACTGCTCCTAAACCAGTACTTTGTTTATCTTTTTCCGTACATACACGTACTCCCGTCTAGGATTTACAGTAGGTCCCAATTATTATTACCTTTAAAACTCTAAATCTTTCTCAGTCGGATTTCTCTATATCTAATTTAATAGATTAGATTGCCCCCGAGGGGTTAGTTTATTGGGCACCCTTTACATCCTGTGCAACGTGAAGCGCAGAAGCGTTTACAGCGCCCATCAGAGAAGCATGCAGAGTTCATGCTTGCCTTTATGACTCCTGCATTAAGGGCGTAAAAGCCTAAAGGATCATAGGTTTTGTCAGCAAGTGACAGAATGATGAGTGTGTGGGGGGAAATTCCCGGTACAATTTATCTGTTTATGGCAAAGTGTTGCAGGTCCCTAATAATGTCAAATGCCAGGCCTGTCACTAGGAGGAGGGATATCTGGTCAGGGAGGGAAGAGGTGCCACCCCTGTAGGGGGAGGTCATAGGGCAGATGGGGATGTGGTAAAGAGGGTGTGAGAGTCTGTTGACCACAAAGTTTACAAACAGTGCGGCCAGGCTCAGGGTTGCCAATGTACGAGGCGTGGCGAAGTACAGTGGGGGTGGAGGTGATATGGTGTGGTGGGGCAGGTACAGTAGGGGTGGAGGGAGGCACATAGGCATTGACAACATTGAGGGACGTACCTATTAGTGTTATTGTGATGGTGTGTTCGTCGACATGTCGGTGGGGTACAGGTAGCCGGGGGTAGTGTCCTCAGGTCCAGGTAGCCCTGGTGGAGACAGCTCAGACACGGGCGCGGCTTGCGGTGGGTGGTGGACAGGTTGAGGCACCAAGTGTTGTGAGGATGGGGCAGGACTTCGCTCGGGGGCAGCAGGACACACCAGGGCAGGCCCGGTAGGCGCTACACCAGTAGTGAAGGCAGCCAGCGGTGGAGTAGGCCGTGAGCAGGGGGCTCACGGCCTACTGACTTCCACTTATACACCTCTATCATGTCGCCCCTCACTCTACGTCTCTCGGGGGAGTGCAAATTAAGATGCTTTAACCTGTCTCTGTACTCAAGGTTCCTCATGCCCGGGATTAGTCTTGTCATTCTCCTCTGAATTCTTTCCAAGGATTCTATATCCATTCTGTAATACGGTGACCAGAACTGAACTGCGTAATCCAAGTGAGGTCTCACAAGCGCAAGATAAAGTTTTAAGATGACCTCGCTAGTCTTGTAACTAACACTCCTTTGTATGAACCCAAGTACTTTATTAGCCTTTTTCAAGCGAATACACATTGTTTACTTGGCTTAAGATTCCTACTTATCATTACTCCTAAATCTCACTCGCAGTCGGATTTCCCAATAACATTGTTGTTCATCTGGTATCTGGTTTCCCTGTTTACATCTCCTATACTGAGTACTTTACATTTATCCACATTGAATTTCATCTGCCATTTTTCAGACCATTCGAAAAAATTGTTTAGATCTTCCTGTAGTTTTGCGGAGTCCTCGTCAGATTTAATTACACGTCCTATTTTAGTGTCATCAGCAAATTTACTTATGTTGCTGTCTACGCCGATATCTATGTCGTTTATGTATATAATAAATAATAATGGTCCAAGTACTGAGCCTTGGGGAACTCCACTAGTGACGTTGCTCCAATGGGATTTAGTGCCGTTAATGCTCACTCGCTGTTTCCTGTCCTGTAACCACGCCCTAATCCATTTTAAAATATCACCTTTAATGCCATGAACCTTTCTTATTAGTCTTTCGTCGGGGACTCTGTCGAAGGCTTTGCTAAAGTCGAGATATACCACATCATAATTGTGCCCCTCATCCGCTGATTCAAAAACTGATGAAAAGAATGTTAATAGATTAGTTAGACATGAACGCCCGCTTGTGAAGCCATGTTGGGAATCATTGATCAACTTGTGCTTCTCCAGGTGATTTTGAATAGAGTTTGAAATGATTGCTTCCAGTAATTTGCCTACAATTGATGTTAGACTGATTGGACGGTAGTTAGAGGATAGTGATCTATCTCCCTTCTTGAAAATCGGTATTACATTTGCTATCCTCCAGAATTCTGGTACTACACCCGTTTTTAAGGACATGTTAAACAACTTTGCTAAGGGCATACTAAGCTCTTCCTTACATTCCTTTAATACTCTGGCAAATATCTCATCGGGACCTGGTGACTTATTAGGCTTTAGTTTGTCTATTTGCTTCCTAACATTGTTACTAGTCACTACTATCTCGCTTAATTTGTTTTCTTCACTATCTCTGTATAGAGTCGGTGCCTCGGGTATCATGTTTAAATTTTCGGTGGTGAAAACTGTTGAAAAATATTTATTCAGATTATTGCTCATTTCTCCGTCGTTATCAGTGAGCTCGCCGGTATCTGACAGTATTGGTCCAATCTTTTCTCGGGTTTTAGTTTGATACATTTGATAGAATCCCTTGGGGTTTGACTTCACCTCCCTTGCTATCCTTCAGCTCATTATTCCTCTGCTTTTCTTATCTCGGTCTTAACCCTACCGGCCAATACCTTATAATAATCTCGGAGGTAAACTTAACCACAATCTATTCTCCTACTTATAGCTTTCCTTTGTCCAATAATGTTCTTTAAATAATTATTTATCCATTTAGGGTCACTGTTGTTTGATCTGAGTTTTCTGAATGGTATGTTCTGCCCTTGTGCATTAAGTAACTCATTATTTAAATTGTTGTGAAACTCGGCAACCTCAGATCTCGTTTTCAGGTCAGCGGGTTAAATGTCGACATGAACTCATTGTTGTGTCACATTTCAAACAAACTTCAGACTTTTGATGTTGAAATGTACCGCCCCCCCCAAGCTGCCCGTGCATGGTATATTAATTATATCGACTCACCGTGGTGGAGCGTTGGAGAGGGGGAGGTTGGGCAGCTGGCACTTCCCTCCCCAACCTTCCCGCCTACTACACTACCCTCCAAGTCGAAGGAATCGTAGGTGAACCTGGTGGGGGAGGGTGACCCAGCCATCTCCTCTTGCTGAAACGTAAAGACAACACCTGGTTAATGAGGATAGTGTTGGGGTCAAGTGAAGATTATCCCAACTCAGTTTATTTCACCTGATTATACTGTACACCCTAACGCTACCTGAGGTTTGGGTTAGGTTAGGTCAGGTCAGGTCAGGTCAGGTCAGAGTTGGTTAGGTGAGGTGAAGTTAGTTTAGGTTAGGTCAGGTTAGATTAGTTTAAGTTAGGTGAGGTTAGTTTAGCTTAGGTTAGGTTAAGTGTTTGACTGGATTTTGTTTTTAGTTTGGTCTCTATTTCGAAATTTTTTTATCTATTGAGTATAGATTCGTGACCTCCTTTCCTAACTGAGAAACAATTCCCCGCCATGTCCTGTTGCAGCACCTGGTTGCCTCACGGCTTCCTCACTAATGCAACTCATGTCTCAGTCGTAGATCATCATTCCCCTGACGCTCCACTGAATGTAAACATACTCCTATCATTGTAACCACGTGTGTGTGTGTGTACTGTAAGAGTGCTAGTCAGGCCGCACCTCGATTATGCGGTTCAGTTCTGGCTTCTGGTGCCCTTATTATAGAATGCATATCAATTCACTGGAGTCGGTGCAGCGAAGAATGACGAAAATGATTCCGGGACTTAGAAACCTTCCATATCAAGATAGGTTAAAGAAACTTAACTTGCATTCCCTAGAAAGACGAAGAGTGCGGGGAGATATGATAGAAGTATTTAAGTGGGTGAAAGGAATCAATAAAGGGATATAGATAAAGTTCTTATAATATCCGAGCAGGATAGGACTCGGAGCAACGGATTTAAGTTGGATAAGTTTAGGTTAAGGAGGAGATAGGAAGGAACTGGTTCACAAATAGGGTGGTGGACGAGTGGAACAAGCTTAGCAACTTTGTAGTAAGTGCGGGAACTCTGGAAAGTTTCAAAAGGAGGCTAGATAGATTCATGGATGATAGAGGGTGGTAGTAACTCTCGACAGGAGCTGCCATGCACAGGCCAACCGGCCTATTGCAGACTCCTTATTTTCTTATGTTTCTTATGTTCTTAACTGTGTTGTACCAAATGAATCATTAATAGACGCTAAAATTGCGATTGGTCTAGGCCCTCTAGGGCATTTTTCACAATTTGGATTTCTGTTGTAATGTTACGTGCTGCTCGTACAAGTATATTCATGTTGATTTTGCGCTGTGTTAATGTCCTAGTTACCAATAGGCTCATGTTTCACCTTACGTTGACAGGTATCGGGAAAATAAACAACTATTAAATATCAGCATATGAAAATTCGCGTATACCATCTCGCTAAACTCTTACAAAATACTTGCATTTTCGCCAGGGTCATCACGTCATTGTTTACAATAGTACAGAGGCGAGATACAAACCGGTGTAGTAAAGTCAATAAGTCATCCAATTCACGTTAAATACAGTCAAAGTTCTGACTTACCTAACTGAATTCTCCACAGTGGAGACAGTGACCCCACAGCGTCTGTCGTGACCATGGCAACGGGGGATCACACGCAGACGCACACCAGCTGCTGAGTCGTGGAGTAACTCGTACTGTCTTCAATAAACTCACATCATAACCTCAATATTATCTAGGAAAACACATACACCAGTGATGATAACACTAACCACAATTTATTTTAGCTAGTCTATTTAGTTCTTTGTTTATCAATTTCATATGTCGATAAGTATAAAGACTATTATGCTCATAAAACCGTTTTACAGAAGCCTGGGAAGGTATAGGTTCCTGTTTAATCTTGTTAATATTATCTTTTATTTACTCATTTTCAGTCGAGAGTAAACAAACGGTTACTGTACGTTACGTGAAACTCTCTTATTACCCAATACAGTATTTTGGTGGGTCGTTTAGCTTAATGTCTACATCTACACTATTAAGTTTAAAAAAAATCACAACAATCCCACACTTTACTGTGGAGGGGTGATACAGTTTTCTTCTGTGGCTGTGTCGCAGGATCAGACATACCTACCCCGAGAGATCACTGGAGAGGCATTGGGCAGATTATTATATGCACAACATTTAGAGCAGAACCAGGGACGTCATTTCAGATTTTGCTTGGGGGGAGGGCAACACCATTACATGCAAAGAGTAGGGGTCAAAATCCTGGTCCACTGTAGTGCCGCCGGGTGGTGCTGTAACAGGCGAAACATGTTCCAATACGTTTTATATTTTAATGATTTTTTTTTAGATTGCCTCCGAGGGGGCTAGTTTAATGTGCACCCCCTTACATTCTGTGTAAGGTGAAGCGCAGAAGTGTTAATACAGTGTCCATCTGAGAAGCATGTGGCTTATTAATGACATTGGATCTGTGGGTTCCTTGCCCTTAGTTGACTTGATCTCGGAGTTGCTATTTTTTTTATTATTACTAGTCATTTACCACCGCCAAACAGCAGGCAAATGACTGACTTATACAGGTGTGTGTAGAAGATAAATTAGTCGTAGAGGACATTTTCATCTGAGGAAATGCCAAGGTATGTTCCTAGAAATTTATTGACCAATCGTGAAAAAAAATAAAAGGTTTCTAATTTAACATAATTCAAGATAGAGAAACATTAAGAAACATGTACGAGTAATTCCTACATAATGCTATAATAGTCTGTTATAGATTGCACCATTATAACAACCTTAAATATGTAACGGAAGTACAACTGGGCGTTATTTTACCAGAACTAATTTACAATCAATATTTCAATTAAAAGTATAACACATAATGTGAGTATTAATCAACAGAAACCAGAGGATATCTACAACACTCATTTATGACGAGGATAACATTAAACTTTACGGGTTGATGCACAAATAATGACTGGTGAAACCTTTGCAAGTAACTAATGGCAACCCAGCAGTGGCCCCGGGGATCAGTAAGACTAGGGCCGCGCCAGCAGTATCGTTCAATTGAAAGGCTTAGCTCAAGCTGAGGCAGTATAGAGAGCACAGTGGCACACAGCAGTCAGCATCCTCTAACTACCCTGCAGTACACCAGTTCTCGGTCACCATGGATTGCCAGAATGTTCTCCCAGCGCCTGACAAAGGACAGATACAGGTAAGGGGAGCTAGCAGACGGGAATTTAAGAACTGTCATATTTACTTTACTTTATACTCTTCACTACTTATCGGCTTGTTAGTCTGTCCCGCCTGTTACACACTGTTGGCAAGCACTAGCTGCAGAACGTATCAATACCTGCGCCAGGTTGTACGAGTCTGTACTTGAATGAACTTCGTGCCATCACACCTTTGGCAGATTGTTCTATAGTTTGTTGACCTCCCTCTCCTAATATTCGTCCCAAATTACGTTTAAGGGTACCCCGGTAAGCACAAGGGAGTCAAGCTCTTATTAATCATATATTTTTGTCAGTTTACTTGGTGACTGGTGAGGTCTGTGCGTCTGTTATGGTTCATTTGTTGCACCTCTGCTATTCTTTTACTTTTTTATTACTTCTTGTTATTTTTTTTAACTATATTACTTTATTGTTGTATCATGCTTCAGTGTTTTGACTGTATGGTTGGGTTGACTAGGCCTAATGGTAAATAATACAACACGTGTTAGAAATTTGGCGGGAAACGATCAGCTGTTAGAAATTTTGACGGGAGTTAAATTTGACAACATGTTAATTTAGCGACTTTATGTATATGGTTTATTAATTAATTTCAATGTTTCTAGTTCATACATGTATATAAATATATTGGCGCAATATTAAATTAGTATAGCCTGTAGGTAGTGCTTGCATTTGTGGAAGATAATAGTTTTGGCGTTTTAAATACGGAATGTGAACCTATATTTATGTTCATACTGGATGGTAATATTAATGACTAAATTGGTTTACCTAGACTTGCAGTGAGGGGCAGTGTCGATGGGTCCAGTGTTAGTACAAGAGGAAAGCCAGAGCACCTAAATAAAACCTGCCATATTTGGTGGTGTCACAAAGGACTCGGCGGGTGTGAGCATGTCGGGAGTATAAGGCCCCCCCTCCCCCAGCGCTCAGGGCTGACACTCGTCCAATTTTCTCATTGATATATATATATATATATATATATATATATATATATATATATATATATATATATATATATATATATATATACATATATAATGGAGTGAAAGGATCTGGATATAAAGGGGAAAAGATTTTAAAGGTTTATTACCATATGTTCGATACTTGATAGAATTTTTTCATGTCTCATACTAAGTGGCAACTTTGTAACTTCTTAAAGTCATTTGTTGCCTAAAGTAACATAAATTACGCCTTTTACGCAAATATCAGAATTGTCACACTTGTCAGCATTTGCCAAGACCAAGTTTTCATGTCATGTCACGGAAAACAAATTCATGCTAAGGTTGAGGTCAGGTAGGCCTATGGAAATTGGAACAGTCTATTAGCTGAACTGGTGAAGCCGTAGAAGGTAGGACAGCAGTAGGCACTACAGTTGCCTTTGGTAAGAATTATCAAGAACAGTGTTTAGGGATCCCACACAAGCATGGCCTCCTGTAGTTGGGGGAGCTGCCAGGTATATTAGGTATAAAAACAAAAATACTTTGTAAGACCAAGAAATCTGTGAAAAGTTTATTTGCATTTCCTTCCCTAAGTAATTAACTACAATCGAACTTGGGTGGCAATTATCAAGAAAACGACAATAGTTGAGTATGTACGATGGCTGCAGGTGGTTGTTGGGGCTAGTTGGGTAGTTAGGGAGGCAGGGCAGTGTTGTGGTCACGGGACTCCTGTGTGTCAGCTCGTGTTACCTCTCTCGGCTGGGGTATCCTATATATACCTGTTTTACCGGTTGTAGGCGTGCCAGGGGTCCCAACAAGGATTACAATGGAGAGATACGATGAGGACCTCGGCGAGAACAGCTTCTTTCAAGTGCTACAAAAGGATTACGGGGAAGTGTTTGAAAGGGCTGTCTTAAGTGAATGGATCATCTGTGTTCCTAGGGCAGGGGCGTTACCCAAGTATTCTTTAGCTCAAGATGATATATTGGGGCATATTTTAGTGCCCAGTGAGGAATTACCGGAGACACATTTTAGGACATTAACCGACAGAAGTGTGGTGCTGAATGGGAATGTCTTGGTGTTAGAGAACAATGTGTCCAATCCCCTTTCAGTACACATACTGTTTGACGAGACTTACTATGATGATGAAATGAGAAAGTACAAAGTGATGTGCCTTGAGGATCCACTGTATGCCTCCCATGCCTTTACCCCCACAAGTGGCTCTGGTCTTGTGACCCTTTATTCAGTGAGAGATTGTATTGATCTTCTGTGGACTGAAGCAGGTGGTGGGAGAGCACTTGAAGGAGTAGATAATCTTATCAAGCAATTTCTAACACGAAATCCTTCATTAGAGGAAGAAACTTTACAAAGTTTGCGTGACCTTGGCAGTGAATTATTCTCTGAAGCCGTACAAGTAATACTGTCCGATCCAAGACTTGGACAGAAGACTAAAAGGGATCAGTATCTTTTGGAAACTGTTAAGTTGGCCGTGGAAACGTATGTGTTGTACTGCACATACAAAAGATTTATGAAAGGCATTGCTGCTTGTAAGGCTGATGAGGATGCAAGGCTGAACAGAATAATAAAGAATCTTGCTGACTTACAGTTAAGAGATTTAGGTATAGACCCACAGTTGATGTGCAGCCTAACAAAAGCTAAGTTTGAATTGGCTAGTATTGAAGGCCAAACTACACCTCTTGGTAAATTGGGCTGCATCAAGCGTGCCATATCTCTAGTGACTTCACACGGTACCGTAGTGTCGTCTGACGAACTCCTGCCGATATTACTCTTCTTGGTTGTAAAGGCAAATTTGCCAAATTGGTACGCTCATGTATCATTCCTGAAGCTTTTTCGCTTCTCCGTGGCCATTAGTGATAGCGGCGAACAGAGCTTTAATATTTGTTCTCTTGAAGCGGCAATAGAGCACCTCAGTTCTGGGTCTCTATTTGGCTCCACGTCACCTGAAGCAGACTCGGTGTTGCAACCCGGGTGTATTACTAGTCCCATCTTGAAGAGCATGGAAGAATCACTTATGTATAACGGGGTCGACCCCATGGCACGGTACTTTGAGTGCATTCGCCTTGGAAAAGTGGAAGATGTTAAGGATATTTTAGATGGAAAATACAAACCCTTTGAAAAAATAAGTGAAAATGAGCCAAGTTTGATTGAGGCAGATGCTCAACTTTGTCATCCACTCTGTTCGTGTGATCGATGTGAGAAATTGGTGTCTAAACCAAAGAAGGACGTAATGCCAACAGTTTACACGAGAGAGGAGAGGGGGTATACTGGCCTTCATGTTGCTTGTATATTTGGTCGCCCAACAATTGTTGATCTCCTGATAAGTCTTGGATCTGACCTACATGCCACAGATTTCCGGGGTGCCACACCATTACATTATGCCTCACAGCGGGGACACCAGAATGCTGTATTGCTACTCCTACATGCTGGTGCTGATATAAATAAATGTGATGGCGATTCAAATACGCCATTACACCTGGGTGCTCTGAATGGCCATATTGCCTGTGTCAAGGCCTTATTATTCTATGCTGAGTCTGTTGGCTGTCAAATTTCAATCAATGCACAGAACAATTTGCTTGATACGCCACTGCATCTTGCCAGCAGGTGGGGATATTCTGCTATTGTTGAGTTGCTTCTCGATCGAATATTAATTCTGGGATTGAGTTTGAAAGTGTACAACAACCGAAAACTTACCGCTCTAGACTGTGCTCACAATCTCCATATTTCAAAACTAATTCTTGAAGCAAATATGAGAAACGACGAGCTTCAGAGTTATGTAAGAGTAGACATGGATTGTATAGATTCTTCTGGTAAAAAAGGTTCAGACTTTAAAGATAGTGCTGAAAGGTCAGAAGTGAAAAAGAATACTCTCTATACAGATCCCAGTCACCTGAAGCATGTAGAGAAGTTACTGAAGGTAGTCAGAGTTGGAGATGTTAAATTAGCTTGTTTTTATCTTGGTATAGAAGAGAAGATCACTGGGCCAGAAGTATTATCACCTAGGACCCTGTGTCATCCACTGTGTCAGTGCTCTGAATGTGCTCCTAATTTTCATAATAATCAAGAATCTTCAGAAACCTTCAAGGCCACACCAATCAACTCCTGCAATGCGGATGGTTACACTGCCCTACATGTTGCAGTAACACAAAACCATCTTCACTTAGCTAAAGTGTTACTAGGTCATGGAGCTAATCCCAGCCTTTTGACCAATAGTAGAAGGTTGACTCCCCTCCACATATCTGCCCAGAATTGTAATTTCGACTTGATGCAGGCATTATTATCTTACGGTGCGCAGGTAGACACTCAAGAAGTGTGTGGCAACACAGCGCTCCACTACTGTTGTGTGAAAGGATTTAATGAAGGTGTGAAGTTGTTGTTGGATTGGAAAGCAACAAAGGATATCTCAAACCTATCAGACAATACTCCTGCCCAAGAAGCTGAGAAGAGGGGCCACTGGCATATTGTGGAGATGATCTTTGGGAAAACTATGCCATATTAGATTGTGATATCACTGGACTAAAAAAAAAAAAAAATACTGCTTATTGGAGGCCTTCATAATAATAAGCTGGTGAGTAGGTAAAGGATTGTTTCAGTCTACAGTACTTGTTTAGTAACTTAACCTAATAGTAGCTGTTATATTTATTTCTTAATGTGTTTTAATTGTATCGTGTGACAGGTTGGCTCATTTGTTTCTTTACTTGAATAATGAGTGAATGTGATTTATAAATTCCTGTTAAGATTATCGTTCAGACTAATAGCGACTGACTCGGGACAACGAGTGAGTGAGTCATGGTGTATCTATATAATGGTTATTAATTTGATGTAGAGAAAAGGGAAAACAAGTTAATTAATCCATTTAGATATTTTCTAAAATTGTAAAGGTGGAAACTGCAAATTATTAAAAAAAATAATAATGTAATGCAGAATATCAGTTAAAAAGAGTCTACTTGTTTTAATATATGATATTTAAAAAGTTTTATGGTGCAAAATATGGAACATTAAAAATAAATTAATGTACAGGACTGTAAGTGGAGTTCCAAATTAAATTTACATAAGAGGAACAGCTTTCAGTGAGTTGTTGAGTAGTTATGAGACTGTTGATGCCTGACCATTAAGGGGAGTGGTTGATGACCTATTAAAAGGTAACATAGCTGACAGGCTGTTTGCTGCTCGTCCTCATCTTGTAACTGCTATCTAACTTTGGGGCAGAACTGTCTATTTTTCCAGTTATTTTAAAGGATGATTTTAAAGGTTCACAGTGCCCATGTCTATCACTGAAACATACTGTGCACTCTTACTCCCTCAAGTAAGGCACAGCAATGTACTGTTCGGTGCTCCTACTGGGATGGACACCAGCTAGTTACCAGACTATGTTGGTTCTATTTGTATTGTTTCAAGAAAATGTTTAACAAATTAGGGAACAATTTGATGGAAATCAAGGCTGTCCAATATAACTCCAGTTTTGCCGTGTGCCGTATTCAAGGTCGTTTTACGTGGGCTTTCCTCGTGAGGAATCCTCACGGTGAGCTTTGCCCGAGCCATGGGCATTGGTCGTATTCTAGGTGGTACAAATCGTGGGGTTTGCGTGGGACTTGCTCCAGGTCTGCCATCATTGGAAAAAAGGGAATGTTGGTATGCCATACGTGAACAGCTGATCACAAATACTGTATTGTTAGTTGAAGGCAATAAAAAATCAAATAAAGATATACTGAATCAATAAAATGATCATATATACTGTATTGTACAAAGTCCAAATCTTGTGGTATTTTTTTTTTACAAGTTGCCCATAATCTGCTGAGTCACCACATGTCGTCTGTTGGTTTACAACCGACCTGCTTGGTCCGAGGGTACTCTCATGTCCTCATAAAATATAAAATTATACCATGACGCTTCAATAAAGTAGGTTTCATTGGTACCAGATAACAAAATAAGTACTTTCTGTTCAATACGGCAGTGGATCGGGGGGCTGGCAATTAGGTAAGGTTAGGTAGGTTTCTTTGGTTGGTTAGGTCAGGTGCTATTGCGTTCACTATTATTCATTTGCGACAGAAATGTACGGAATGAAAGGTACTCAGAATGATGAAATATATCTAGAACTGGACCCCACAATATTGTGGGACATTATGGGCAACTTGTAAAAATTTACCAATCTTGTACAGTATGCTGGTGATGAATAAGATCACATGTATGTGTGAGGTAGAGTGAAGACTTCAGCATCACTATTGACCTAGGCTAGTATGCTACAAGTATTTCATTAATTTCAGATATACAGTACAGTACTATCTTATTAATATATCACCAGTAAAATATTGACAACTAAAGATAAATCTTCCTGCAGTGTCAAAGAACCCATACTGTAATGTTAGTTTACTGTATGCACCGTCGGTCAGTAATATACTATTTGATTTTGTTGGTGTTTATTGTCTCAACACAGAAGGCACCAATACCTGAAATGTACACAACAGGAATAGGCTACACCATCTCACACATATACTGGTACACACACTCCAATGACTATACGCCTGGAACAGTACAGTTAGTTATGGCTAATAAAAATAAAGATACACATACTGTACTAAATCGATAGAATTATCAATTGTATCTTATATGGCAAGTGAGTTGACACAGGAGTGTTAGATTAGAGTTGGCCTAAAGACATAAACAAAATTGAAGGGATATTTCTATAGTTAGGCCTTTTATATTCACACTATATTCATGAATGGTTTTAGAATTTTGTGGTCTGATTTTTGGTAAACAACGTGAAATATAAAATTTTGGGGGTAGAGTATGACTCTTAGCACCGTATCCGGCCTTGTCCATCAGCAAAATTCATCAAAAATTAATAAAGAAAATTTTTTTGACTAAACTAGAAGCGTTGTAACATATTTGTAATTGCAAGGATGTTAATAGTCAACACTGATTGATCCTAAGGGCTTGCTTAGGGTGCCCACCCCTTCTCACGAATATTCCAGCAATATCCGTGAGCATTCCCCACCATTCTTGAATTCAAAATGTGGGTAATCCCCATAGGGAGATCTCAAACTAAACGATCTTGAATATGGATGTGTGAGAGCACTAAAATAAAAAATTAAACTATGTGCCAGAAAGTCATGTGGTACCATTGCTGACAGCTGAGCATTCAAAGTGAAAAGGTCATTTAGCTGGCCACTGAATCTGCCTCGGTCAGTGAGCAAAAGATAATATTCCCTGTGATTATCTTCCCAACACTCATTCAAAAGACCCTCACCTCACCTATGAGTGGAGAATGTTTTGCAAGTTCACCTGCCAAGTGTATGGTGAGTATCCATGTATTTTATCTTTATTCATTTAATTATTTATAATTGTTTTATTTGTGTTAATTTTATTACAGTATTATTATTATTGTTGTGTGATATTTACCGGTTGTTATGTGAGGTGTTAGGTAGGTTATGATGTCTTAAAGCTCAGTCAAGGAACACCTCTCAAATTATAACTCTTATTTGTATTGAAAAATGTTTAAAAGGTAAAAGTATTTATGTTAGGTTTTCTAGGATCACATCCCTGGTATAAATCAATGACTTGCTGAATTACATAAAGGCTTAGGTAATGTTGATGGTAAAAGATGAAAGGTTTATGTAATGTGATGGTAAACTAGATTATAGATTCAACTGTTACTTTCAGATCATCTTTGGACCCATGTTTTCTGGAAAGACAACTGAGCTGATGAGGCGTCTTAAAAGATATCAGATTAGCACTCACAAATGTCTTGTTATCAAGTATTCCAATGATATTAGGTAAGTGTATATTATATATATATATAATATGCATTTTGTTAAATTCTTATACTTTACAGTAACCAAGCAATGCAGGAGGCTTACCGGTAATTTTTCAGAGAGAGCCTAAGAGCCACACAAAGCTAGTCCAAATATATAGTGTTAACCATTATTGAAGGTTCTGGCATAACCACAAGAATTGTCTGTTTGTATCAAAAGACTGCTAGGTGGCTGCAACCTTGGGTTAGCAGCTTGATCCCTCAGTTGGTGATAGTGTCATCCATCAGTTGTAGAGTAATGATTACAACTTTGTATTAAAATTGTTTATTTTTTGTTATTTCTGTTTTATTTGGATTTATGAGAGAGAAAATTAGCTACAATACTGTACAGTATATACTTAATACTGTACAGTAAACTTATTATGTTATGTGATTCTCAACACAAATGAATACACAATTCCTATTCTTAGCACTGAGGTCTCACTATCACTACAGTTTTTGCACCAAATATTTTTTTTTTTAGCATTAAAGGGTGAAATAGTGGTGAAAGTTGTCAGAGGAACACTTAGGATTAGAAAAACAGAACACGAACAAAGACAGTACAGGTACTCCCCGACTTACGATGGGGTTAGGGATCGACATCCTGGTCGTAAGTCGGAAATGCTTAAATAACACACAGAAAATCGAAAATTTGGGTCTTTTTCTTCTCAGCACCACAAAACTCTCACTTTTAAGCTTGCCAGCCATTTTAAAGTGAATTACAGGTGAAAATTTTGTCTGTGTACTGACTTTGGGACTCAAAAATACATAATTTGACCACATTTTGGTACGACTGAGGCGGTCGTAAGTGCGGGTGGACGTAAGTCGAGTCGGTCGTAAGTCGGGGAGTACCTGTATATAAACAGCGTATGGAACAGCTTCCAACAGACTGTCATGTGAGATGAAGTGAAATTCTTAAAAAAAATTTGTGAACTTGCTCCTGTAAATCAATTTTGTTATGAGTTTCTTGCCTCCATGGGTGAATGAATCATATCAGGATGAACCATGTAGCTTTTTGTTGTAAAATTGATATACAGTACCTGTGCAAGAAATTTTATTCAAGAATTTAAAGTACATACACGAATAAAGTGGGTTTTATAATTTTGGTGGACAGTACAGTAGTGCTACAATATTAACTTTACCTTTCAGGTACGACAGTAATGGTATAGCTACTCACGACAATCAAGTCCTTCCTGCACTTTCTGTCACATCGCTGGGAGAATTAAAAGATAACGCTGAAAAATACAGCGTCATTGGAATAGATGAAGGCCAGTTTGTGAGTACAGTGCAGTAGTTGAGTGCTGTTAGATGTAATATGGAGGAATTCTTACACATTATAGTCTGCTACTAATCTCACTCTGTAAATTTTTCTTGGGTATAAAAGAAGTTTCTGTGTACCTCACCCCCACCACCTCTACACTACATTTGCCAGGATTGAAATGAGGCAGCTTAGGGAGTCGATTCTTTATTCCTTATGTTTTATAATCTCATTTATGTATTTTTTGAGTAGACCTTCATTTAAGAAGCATAATTTTACAAAAATTTCAATGTTATATAAAAAAATTATCCCCAGCTTTGTTCTCGGAAAAAAAAGGAAGTTAAGACAAAATGTTCATTAATATTCATTATGCAAGACCCTTCCTCTCCCTCCCCCATAAGAATGTGTAACAGCTTTTATAATGGGACTCTAGGGGAAATTGTGCTTGGGCTTACGAAAGTTTTTTCCAGGAACGGAAGCCTTTCATAAATTGGGGTCTCCCTGTATTTATTTTGACAATTTTTTTTTTCCAGTTCCCAGATATTGTAGAGTTTGCTGAAGAGATGGCAAACAATGGGAAGATTGTGATTGTGGCTGCATTAGATGGAACTTACCAGAGATTAGGGTTTGGATCCATCTTGCAGTTAGTACCATTAGCGGAGTCGGTGGTGAAGCTGACTGCAGTGTGCATGATCTGCTATGAGGAGGCTTCGTACACCAAACGCACTTCATCAGAAACTGCAGTCAGTTGATTTGTACCGAGCAGTATAACTTAATTAGACTCAGTTGTCCTTTTTTTTTCCACATCCAGTAGAGTATTCTAGCCATGAAATTTCCTCCATACCACAATCTGGATATTTATGCAATTAAGTCACCATATTTGTCAGATTGCTCTAAAGTTATGATGGGAGTTTGTGCAGCCTATGTTGTAGAAATTGTAAGTAGCTACAGGCATACTCCTTAGAATGTTTATTTATGGCAATGCAGGAATTTTAAATGGTAGAGCTTTCATTGTCGACCATAAGAGACGTATTTAGCCATAAAACCCAATACAGTAGTACAGTGTCTTGTTTGGCCGACCACAACGTGTTATTTTTGTTTGGTTTTACTACAAGTTGGTTAACAGTGAAACATGATTTAACTTAAATTGATGGGTTGACTTTACAGTATCACATATAGTGTTTGGTGGTTTATGGATGTTTTGCTGATCAATTAATGGGAAAATACACCTAAAAATATTTATATTTTTGCAGGTCGAGGTGATTGGCGGTTGTGATAAATATATCGCTACTTGTAGAAGATGCTTTTTCACTTCCTCCTCCCCACAGAATAGATCAACTGCCAATCTGCTCAAACCAGTCCAGGTAAATTATTTTCTTTATACAGGAGGTCCTCGTTGTATGTCTTACCGATGATACATAATATCACACATGTCACTAACAAACACAGGAAGAAATTTTCATTATATGTCACATTTAACAAATACAGTAAAACCTCGATTAACCGACCACATATTGGGGGGAAGGGGCCGACGGATAATCCAAAAGGTCGGTTAATAGTACATAAAGTCTACGGAAGTAAAACATACATTTTCAAATTACCTTTCCCTAACCTACCTCATTTAAGTCCCTCTATTCATTTTTGTTCATTTGCCATTCATATTTCAATAGAATTTGCTTTAAAACATTAACCACTTTAGTAAATAAATATGAACCAGCACAGAAACCGTGAATAAAAAATGGAAAAGTCAAAGAACATGTCATCACAAAAATTGTGACCAAGTCCCAGGTTGCTCATCTGACTTTCTGCCTCATTTACACACAATTGCAGGGTCTCAATTGTTTCTCTTACTATTGACAACACAACATACATACAGGTACATTGTTTCTCACTCTTGATTTTTTTTCATTTTTGCATTTCTTTATGGTTCTTTATTATTATTATTATTATTATTATTATTATCATCATCATTATTAATATTATAATATTATCGCCCCGATGTGGGTCAGTGACCTGTGCCCGGGTGGGCTAATCCCCGTAAAAAAAATAGGGGTTCGGGGTTGACGGCTAATCCGAAAGTCGGTTAATCGAGATTTTACTGTATGTCGTCTGCATCATCCACCGTCTTATACTAAGTCTGCCTGTGTCAGAAGTGTCATGAATAGTATTGAGAACATCTAATATAATGTAAAAATAACTACAACAAGTACTAGAAGTGCCGCTACAAGTGTTAAGTTTATGCAGCGCCAATACATCGGTCACCTCTCACATGGCAGTGTGCTGTGCTGTTGTTATAATATGTAAGTCGCCACAGACTGTACAGGTAAGTCAACTCAATATGCTGGTGTGCCTTATGAATAAAGAAAATATAAAACACTGTACAGTAATTAAATATATAAAAGACAAATTAAGAGAATAGAGGAATATTGTGTGTGTAGCTGGGTCGATAATGTTGTATTATTGTAGGGGGACCCCTCGATAAGTATGAATTTGGGGTAATACGGCAAGGCCAGAGCCCCATTTGTTCCAAGCTGTCAAGGATTTACTTGTACAGTGAAACCTCGCTTTACACGGTCAATTGAACCCACGGAGGCCCACGTAAAGCGGGAAACGCGTAAAGTGAACAATAGAACATATGGGATTAATTGAAATAGAGACCGGGCCGACCCCCAAACTCAGCTTTTTCAGACACAATACCTACGTTGTAGTAAAAATAACTTCTTAATTTTATGATGGTATGCACACACAATTAATAATTAAGTGAAATATCAATAATATTAGGTTTTTAACACTTACATTAGTAGAAAAGATGGATGGGGGGTTGGTTCCGAGGCAGAGGGCAGATTATTGGCCCTCACCTGTATCTCTTGTATCAATTGTATCACTATCCACCACAGAGGCTTGCAGGGCCTCTTTGTCAAACCCCTCAAAGTCCATATAAGTCCATATCCTCACTATCATTATCACTATCACTGACTTGGGCCGGCTGTGGTGGGTGGCGGGTGAAGAACTCGGTAATGTTTTGATGACTGGGGGACTTTGTGCGCACCCTGACCGCACCGCTTTCCGCGTAAAAGAGTACACGCACCACGTAAAATGAGCATTCCAGGTCTGGCAGGGTACCGCGTAATCATGGAAAAGCGTAAAAAAAAACCGCGTAAAGCGGGGTAATATTGTACACGGTATACGTATATGTATATGCAAATTCACTCATATGAGAAGACCCCATTCCTACCGGGAATTCAATTAATGCGAACAAAATTCAACATTATGCGAGATGTCATACTCCCTGATATGGATTCTAACCCTGATGACTGCAGATGTCACTCCAACACCATCACCCACTATGTAAAGCCTCTACCACCACCTCCATCATCGTGTCTACCCAAGTTGATGTAACAGCTTTTATTATTAAGTACACTCTACTGTACACTTGCTTTCTCTATTATTTTATAGATATTGTGTTGATTTGTTTTATGGTTTATTTGTCTTGAAAATGGGTCTGGAACATTTTCATTTTGGGTTACGTAACACATCCTATTAACACCATTTACCGCTGCACCATGTTGGCTAAAGATCTGTTTTACAATGGTAACTACAGGTAACTGAATGGTTTTCCTGCATATTCATTGCTATGAAAAAGTGATGTGCAGTAACTCACAATA